TGTCTGAATCTCAGCCTTGTTTTCTCTCTTTCCTCTTTTCTTTTTTCTCCTTCATCGTTTGACTTTCATTAAACCTCTTCTTGTTCTTCCTTTCATCTGTTTTTCTTTCATTTTCCTCAGATTTTCTGTTTTAACTGTAAAACTGATTCTGAATTTTCCTCCTTGTGTTTTTTCTGCCTCTCATTTCCTGCAATATGTTCTGCAACACAAATACATCACCCCCACTTTGAACAACCCTGTTGGAATCGAAGAAGCTTGGTGAACTGCTCTGCCCCCTGGTGGCCATTCCTGGATTTCAACTGAATTTAATGTGTTTCTGTTAAAGTTCTTACTTTAACAGAACATTCCCAAAATAACAACCCAAGTTTCTCTTCTAATTAATAAATATTTAGATGAAAAATGTTTGCAGTTGTCCCAAAATGTCCAGAATGAATGTTTTATACACTACAAAGTTTTAATGTTAAATTTACCCATAAAAACATTCAAAAGCTTCACTTATTGTTCTATTTCTTTATTCTTTTAGTTAATTCCTTTGAATATAACATTTTGGAGTTTAACTTTCTGACATGGATGATAAAGAATTTAAAAACTGGAAGTTTTGTCTGTGAAATTGTGGATTATTTAAAGCAAATCTTGTTAAAAATCATTGTAACAGTTAGTAGCATTAACATTATTGATGTATTTGAGTGTTTGTGATTCAGACACCAATACAACCATTCTAATATTAAATGCCTCTTTCCACTTTTAATTTTTACTCTGTTTACATTTGTATTTTTAATTCTGTCATTATGAACAGTATTTAATTATTAGATACATATTTAAGAACCGGAACCAGGAAAATAAAACCTGATCAGAAATAGATGAGGCTGAAACAAATCGATCTGTTCTTCAGTTTTGTGTTTAATAAAAACCAAACAATACAAATATTTTGAGAATATTAAAATAATAAACCACAGTTTGACTGTCTCTGTGTAGATAATCAGGCCAATCTTAATCTTAATCTGCTTCATTAAATGAAGAAGCAGGAAAAAACAAACATGGTGATCCAGTGACACCAAGCGGTGACAGAAAGTACTGCAGTGTTTAAATCTTCCATCTGAACTTCAGTTTCTTCCTGTTTGTTTTCAGTTTTAATAAAACTGAAGGTTTTTTAAAAGGGTTTTATTAAAACTGTGTTTTGTAAAATTTTTACTTCGGTTTTGACTGAAATTGGTTTAAAACAGTTTTAGAGTTTATTTCTGGTTCTGAATGCAGAACCTGAACCAGGAGACCTGAAGGCAGCAGGTTGATGCAACAGCAGCAGATCTTCAAGCAGCTCAGTGGTTTTTAAACTACCGGCTGTAGTCATATTTCCAAGTCATATTTTCACCATGTTATTCATGCATTTATAAATATCAGTTACTAACTAAATATTTAATTCAAGGGTAAATATTTATCTTTGACAAGAAATATTTACTTCTAAAATTAACTATTTAGTTTGCAAACTAAACACATTGATGAGATCAGAATTGCTCACATATTGCAAAAAATTCACATTTCTTTTAATACATCACTTCCTGAAAAACAGAAATAATCACCCAGAGACGGGCAAAAAAACGAGACCTCTCACTCTGAGTCATTTTAGAATCAGAGCTGAACTCAGACTAAAGAGTCAGACATGAAGGTTAATGCAGCTGCTTGATCACTGAGATCTTCATCGGTTCGATCTTCAAGGTTTTTTCAATACTGTCGAAGTATGGAAACATCTTGTGAGTGAAGGTGTGTGTGAAGGTGTGTATGTGTGTTAGTATCCAGATCAGAGAAGGACAGCTTTCCTCTGTCCCAGTCCAGATTCACTCTGATCCTCTGGAGATTCTTCTGGACTGAGAGAAAAGTGGCAGGAGCTGGTGGAGAACGTGCATAATATTCATCTTGATAGAACCATATAACCAACAATCCAGACATTATGCCTTCTTTCCTCTCAACAGATTCTTCTATCACACCGAGTCTCCAGGCATCACTGTGTCCAACATCAACATCCCAGCTGTGGTTCCCTGAGTTAAAACCATCAGAACTCAGAACAGAACAGTAATATTTATCAAATCTCTCTGGATTATCAGGAAGCTGCTGTTTCTCTCCTCTAGTCAAACTGGTCAGATCTTCAGACAGATGGAGGAATGACCCAGCCGTGTTTGGGTCCAGAACCAGAGGAGTGTAGGTCACCATGGTCTGCATGTTGCTCCAGATGTTGAAGGCCAGGTTGCCCAGATGTTTGGCCTGGTCTATCAGAGCTCCTGAGGGCAGCTGTGGATCCTCCAGCAGGGGGCAGCGCTGGACTCTTTCCACTGCAGCCTTGTAGTTGTGCAGGAATGAGACGTCTTCAGCTCTCAGCTCCTCCTCTGTGGCTCTGACTGTGTCTGAAAGAGCTGCTATCTCTCTGCTCAGAGCCTCCATCTTCTCCTCCATCATCCCTCTCTTCTGCTCCTCTTCCTCCCTCAGTGCAGCCAGCCTGGCCTCCTCTTCCTCTGCTAGAAACTGATGAAGCTGCTTAAACTGCTCCCTAATCTGCCTCTCTGTGTGTCGGGCCTGGACCTTCATGTGTTCTGCTGTCTGATCAAACTCCTCCTGAACTTTCTTCCTGAGCTTCAGCTTCTTCTTTAAAGGTTTCAGAGTTTCCTGAAGCTTCTTCTTGTGTTGCTGAGCAGCTTCATCAATGGGTCTGAATCTGTGATTGGTGTGTTTTTCTGAATCTCTGCAGACGAGACACACTGGCTGCTGATGGTCCAGACAGAAGAGTTTGAGTTTCTCAGAGTGCAGACTGCAGAGATCCTCTGAAGCTCTCTGCTCTCTCTGCTGTAAGAAACTCTCACACAGATTCTTCAGAGCCAGATTACAGGGTGGAGCATCTGATGCTGATCTTTTCCGACAAACTGGACATGAGCGACCAGTTCCTCTTCTCCAGTGTTTCTGCAGACACTCCTTACAGAAGCTGTGGCTGCATGACAGAAGAACCGGATCCTTAAATATCTCCAGACAGATCGGACAGCAGAGATGATCTTCTGATCTGGAAGCCATTTTGTCTCAGTGAACCTGAAACCACAGCAGACAGAAAGTCAAACCAGGGATGAATTTTATGCACAAAAGATTTAAATTTGATTCAACATGTTGAGCCTTTTGTGAATGTGGAGATTACAGATTAATCATCTCACTTTAAACTTGAATCATCCCAGAGATGAACATCACACACATTATATACGTTGATAGTCAAATATCTGACATGGTAAATATTGTTTTCTTGCTAGTTAAATATTAAATGCTGCTGTAAATGCAGAGGTTGATTGTTTGAACTCAGTTAAAGTTCATTAGATCTGAAACGCCTGAATCTGTGAGCAGAAGCAGAAACCATTGTTTCTGTTTGTCTTTAGTTTCTACCTGCTGTTCTTTGTTCACTGAAGGTGAAACCAGAAGTCACTTTCTGTCCTGCAGAAACTTTCTGAACTTACTTTGCTCTGCGTGTTGCTCCTCCTGCAGCAGTCTGTGTTCCAGTGTCCAGTTCTCTCTGTTCTCCGTTTAGTTTGATTTCAGTCCCAGATGAAAATCTTCCACGAGGTTTCTCTCTCCCAACCGTTTCCTGTTCTTCCCGGATTCACTTTTCTTCTTCTACTGTTTCCGTTTCTTCTTCTTGGTTTTATTGGCGTTGGTAACCAGCGTTCAGCAGCATTAGCGCCCCCTGCTGGTGTGGAGTGCGGTTCCTGCCGGTCTACTTCATACTATGTGTTTCTACATATATAAATATTTCCTATATATGTAATTTAATATTCATACAGATAAATATACTAGTATAAACATTTTTACACGATCATCTATTTATCAGAAACACATTAACAAACTCGCTTCACATCCAATCAAATTCTATGAAACAATTTTCTTTTAAATCTAATAAATGTTTGTAAATGTTTAATACACAAATTCCTCCTCAAAATATTTAATAAATTAATATTTTTCTCAGTTCTTTCAGACTCTCTTCATGTATCTTCCCTGGTTTTTATATTTATGACATTTTAATTGAACATGCTGTCGTTTCATATTTTGAACTTTCATACTTTTGAATTTTAAAGTGTCTAGTTAAATCCTGTTTGTCTGAATCTCAGCCTTGTTTTCTCTCTTTCCTCTTTTCTTTTTTCTCCTTCATCGTTTGACTTTCATTAAACCGTCTTCTTGTTCTTCCTTTCATCTGTTTTTCTTTCATTTTCCTCAGATTTTCTGTTTTAACTGTAAAACTGATTCTGAATTTTCCTCCTTGTGTTTTTTCTGCCTCTCATTTCCTGCAATATGTTCTGCAACACAAATACATCACCCCCACTTTGAACAACCCTGTTGGAATCGAAGAAGCTTGGTGAACTGCTCTGCCCCCTGGTGGCCATTCCTGGATTTCAACTGAATTTAATGTGTTTCTGTTAAAGTTCTTACTTTAACAGAACATTCCCAAAATAACAACCCAAGTTTCTCTTCTAATTAATAAATATTTAGATGAAAAATGTTTGCAGTTGTCCCAAAATGTCCAGAATGAATGTTTTATACACTACAAAGTTTTAATGTTAAATTTACCCATAAAAACATTCAAAAGCTTCACTTATTGTTCTATTTCTTTATTCTTTTAGTTAATTCCTTTGAAATATAACATTTTGGAGTTTAACTTTCTGACATGGATGATAAAGAATTTAAAAACTGGAAGTTTTGTCTGTGAAATTGTGGATTATTTAAAGCAAATCTTGTTAAAAATCATTGTAACAGTTAGTAGCATTAACATTATTGATGTATTTGAGTGTTTGTGATTCAGACACCAATACAACCATTCTAATATTAAATGCCTCTTTCCACTTTTAATTTTTACTCTGTTTACATTTGTATTTTTAATTCTGTCATTATGAACAGTATTTAATTATTAGATACATATTTAAGAACCGGAACCAGGAAAATAAAACCTGATCAGAAATAGATGAGGCTGAAACAAATCGATCTGTTCTTCAGTTTTGTGTTTAATAAAAACCAAACAATACAAATATTTTGAGAATATTAAAATAATAAACCACAGTTTGACTGTCTCTGTGTAGATAATCAGGCCAATCTTAATCTTAATCTGCTTCATTAAATGAAGAAGCAGGAAAAAACAAACATGGTGATCCAGTGACACCAAGCGGTGACAGAAAGTACTGCAGTGTTTAAATCTTCCATCTGAACTTCAGTTTCTTCCTGTTTGTTTTCAGTTTTAATAAAACTGAAGGTTTTTTAAAAGGGTTTTATTAAAACTGTGTTTTGTAAAATTTTTACTTCGGTTTTGACTGAAATTGGTTTAAAACAGTTTTAGAGTTTATTTCTGGTTCTGAATGCAGAACCTGAACCAGGAGACCTGAAGGCAGCAGGTTGATGCAACAGCAGCAGATCTTCAAGCAGCTCAGTGGTTTTTAAACTACCGGCTGTAGTCATATTTCCAAGTCATATTTTCACCATGTTATTCATGCATTTATAAATATCAGTTACTAACTAAATATTTAATTCAAGGGTAAATATTTATCTTTGACAAGAAATATTTACTTCTAAAATTAACTATTTAGTTTGCAAACTAAACACATTGATGAGATCAGAATTGCTCACATATTGCAAAAAATTCACATTTCTTTTAATACATCACTTCCTGAAAAACAGAAATAATCACCCAGAGACGGGCAAAAAAACGAGACCTCTCACTCTGAGTCATTTTAGAATCAGAGCTGAACTCAGACTAAAGAGTCAGACATGAAGGTTAATGCAGCTGCTTGATCACTGAGATCTTCATCGGTTCGATCTTCAAGGTTTTTTCAATACTGTCGAAGTATGGAAACATCTTGTGAGTGAAGGTGTGTGTGAAGGTGTGTATGTGTGTGTTAGTATCCAGATCAGAGAAGGACAGCTTTCCTCTGTCCCAGTCCAGATTCACTCTGATCCTCTGGAGATTCTTCTGGACTGAGAGAAAAGTGGCAGGAGCTGGTGGAGAACGTGCATAATATTCATCTTGATAGAACCATATAACCAACAATCCAGACATTATGCCTTCTTTCCTCTCAACAGATTCTTCTATCACACCGAGTCTCCAGGCATCACTGTGTCCAACATCAACATCCCAGCTGTGGTTCCCTGAGTTAAAACCATCAGAACTCAGAACAGAACAGTAATATTTATCAAATCTCTCTGGATTATCAGGAAGCTGCTGTTTCTCTCCTCTAGTCAAACTGGTCAGATCTTCAGACAGATGGAGGAATGACCCAGCCGTGTTTGGGTCCAGAACCAGAGGAGTGTAGGTCACCATGGTCTGCATGTTGCTCCAGATGTTGAAGGCCAGGTTGCCCAGATGTTTGGCCTGGTCTATCAGAGCTCCTGAGGGCAGCTGTGGATCCTCCAGCAGGGGGCAGCGCTGGACTCTTTCCACTGCAGCCTTGTAGTTGTGCAGGAATGAGACGTCTTCAGCTCTCAGCTCCTCCTCTGTGGCTCTGACTGTGTCTGAAAGAGCTGCTATCTCTCTGCTCAGAGCCTCCATCTTCTCCTCCATCATCCCTCTCTTCTGCTCCTCTTCCTCCCTCAGTGCAGCCAGCCTGGCCTCCTCTTCCTCTGCTAGAAACTGATGAAGCTGCTTAAACTGCTCCCTAATCTGCCTCTCTGTGTGTCGGGCCTGGACCTTCATGTGTTCTGCTGTCTGATCAAACTCCTCCTGAACTTTCTTCCTGAGCTTCAGCTTCTTCTTTAAAGGTTTCAGAGTTTCCTGAAGCTTCTTCTTGTGTTGCTGAGCAGCTTCATCAATGGGTCTGAATCTGTGATTGGTGTGTTTTTCTGAATCTCTGCAGACGAGACACACTGGCTGCTGATGGTCCAGACAGAAGAGTTTGAGTTTCTCAGAGTGCAGACTGCAGAGATCCTCTGAAGCTCTCTGCTCTCTCTGCTGTAAGAAACTCTCACACAGATTCTTCAGAGCCAGATTACAGGGTGGAGCATCTGATGCTGATCTTTTCCGACAAACTGGACATGAGCGACCAGTTCCTCTTCTCCAGTGTTTCTGCAGACACTCCTTACAGAAGCTGTGGCTGCATGACAGAAGAACCGGATCCTTAAATATCTCCAGACAGATCGGACAGCAGAGATGATCTTCTGATCTGGAAGCCATTTTGTCTCAGTGAACCTGAAACCACAGCAGACAGAAAGTCAAACCAGGGATGAATTTTATGCACAAAAGATTTAAATTTGATTCAACATGTTGAGCCTTTTGTGAATGTGGAGATTACAGATTAATCATCTCACTTTAAACTTGAATCATCCCAGAGATGAACATCACACACATTATATACGTTGATAGTCAAATATCTGACATGGTAAATATTGTTTTCTTGCTAGTTAAATATTAAATGCTGCTGTAAATGCAGAGGTTGATTGTTTGAACTCAGTTAAAGTTCATTAGATCTGAAACGCCTGAATCTGTGAGCAGAAGCAGAAACCATTGTTTCTGTTTGTCTTTAGTTTCTACCTGCTGTTCTTTGTTCACTGAAGGTGAAACCAGAAGTCACTTTCTGTCCTGCAGAAACTTTCTGAACTTACTTTGCTCTGCGTGTTGCTCCTCCTGCAGCAGTCTGTGTTCCAGTGTCCAGTTCTCTCTGTTCTCCGTTTAGTTTGATTTCAGTCCCAGATGAAAATCTTCCACGAGGTTTCTCTCTCCCAACCGTTTCCTGTTCTTCCCGGATTCACTTTTCTTCTTCTACTGTTTCCGTTTCTTCTTCTTGGTTTTATTGGCGGTTGGTAACCAGCGTTCAGCAGCATTAGCGCCCCCTGCTGGTGTGGAGTGCGGTTCCTGCCGGTCTACTTCATACTATGTGTTTCTACATATATAAATATTTCCTATATATGTAATTTAATATTCATACAGATAAATATACTAGTATAAACATTTTTACACGATCATCTATTTATCAGAAACACATTAACAAACTCGCTTCACATCCAATCAAATTCTATGAAACAATTTTCTTTTAAATCTAATAAATGTTTGTAAATGTTTAATACACAAATTCCTCCTCAAAATATTTAATAAATTAATATTTTTCTCAGTTCTTTCAGACTCTCTTCATGTATCTTCCCTGGTTTTTATATTTATGACATTTTAATTGAACATGCTGTCGTTTCATATTTTGAACTTTCATACTTTTGAATTTTAAAGTGTCTAGTTAAATCCTGTTTGTCTGAATCTCAGCCTTGTTTTCTCTCTTTCCTCTTTTCTTTTTTCTCCTTCATCGTTTGACTTTCATTAAACCGTCTTCTTGTTCTTCCTTTCATCTGTTTTTCTTTCATTTTCCTCAGATTTTCTGTTTTAACTGTAAAACTGATTCTGAATTTTCCTCCTTGTGTTTTTTCTGCCTCTCATTTCCTGCAATATGTTCTGCAACACAAATACATCACCCCCACTTTGAACAACCCTGTTGGAATCGAAGAAGCTTGGTGAACTGCTCTGCCCCCTGGTGGCCATTCCTGGATTTCAACTGAATTTAATGTGTTTCTGTTAAAGTTCTTACTTTAACAGAACATTCCCAAAATAACAACCCAAGTTTCTCTTCTAATTAATAAATATTTAGATGAAAAATGTTTGCAGTTGTCCCAAAATGTCCAGAATGAATGTTTTATACACTACAAAGTTTTAATGTTAAATTTACCCATAAAAACATTCAAAGCTTCACTTATTGTTCTATTTCTTTATTCTTTTAGTTAATTCCTTTCAAATATAACATTTTGGAGTTTAACTTTCTGACATGGATGATAAAGAATTTAAAAACTGGAAGTTTTGTCTGTGAAATTGTGGATTATTTAAAGCAAATCTTGTTAAAAATCATTGTAACAGTTAGTAGCATTAACATTATTGATGTATTTGAGTGTTTGTGATTCAGACACCAATACAACCATTCTAATATTAAATGCCTCTTTCCACTTTTAATTTTTACTCTGTTTACATTTGTATTTTTAATTCTGTCATTATGAACAGTATTTAATTATTAGATACATATTTAAGAACCGGAACCAGGAAAATAAAACCTGATCAGAAATAGATGAGGCTGAAACAAATCGATCTGTTCTTCAGTTTTGTGTTTAATAAAAACCAAACAATACAAATATTTTGAGAATATTAAAATAATAAACCACAGTTTGACTGTCTCTGTGTAGATAATCAGGCCAATCTTAATCTTAATCTGCTTCATTAAATGAAGAAGCAGGAAAAAACAAACATGGTGATCCAGTGACACCAAGCGGTGACAGAAAGTACTGCAGTGTTTAAATCTTCCATCTGAACTTCAGTTTCTTCCTGTTTGTTTTCAGTTTTAATAAAACTGAAGGTTTTTTAAAAGGGTTTTATTAAAACTGTGTTTTGTAAAATTTTTACTTCGGTTTTGACTGAAATTGGTTTAAAACAGTTTTAGAGTTTATTTCTGGTTCTGAATGCAGAACCTGAACCAGGAGACCTGAAGGCAGCAGGTTGATGCAACAGCAGCAGATCTTCAAGCAGCTCAGTGGTTTTTAAACTACCGGCTGTAGTCATATTTCCAAGTCATATTTTCACCATGTTATTCATGCATTTATAATATCAGTTACTAACTAAATATTTAATTCAAGGGTAAATATTTATCTTTGACAAGAAATATTTACTTCTAAAATTAACTATTTAGTTTGCAAACTAAACACATTGATGAGATCAGAATTGCTCACATATTGCAAAAAATTCACATTTCTTTTAATACATCACTTTCCTGAAAAACAGAAATAATCACCCAGAGACGGGCAAAAAAACGAGACCTCTCACTCTGAGTCATTTTAGAATCAGAGCTGAACTCAGACTAAAGAGTCAGACATGAAGGTTAATGCAGCTGCTTGATCACTGAGATCTTCATCGGTTCGATCTTCAAGGTTTTTTCAATACTGTCGAAGTATGGAAACATCTTGTGAGTGAAGGTGTGTGTGAAGGTGTGTATGTGTGTGTTAGTATCCAGATCAGAGAAGGACAGCTTTCCTCTGTCCCAGTCCAGATTCACTCTGATCCTCTGGAGATTCTTCTGGACTGAGAGAAAAGTGGCAGGAGCTGGTGGAGAACGTGCATAATATTCATCTTGATAGAACCATATAACCAACAATCCAGACATTATGCCTTCTTTCCTCTCAACAGATTCTTCTATCACACCGAGTCTCCAGGCATCACTGTGTCCAACATCAACATCCCAGCTGTGGTTCCCTGAGTTAAAACCATCAGAACTCAGAACAGAACAGTAATATTTATCAAATCTCTCTGGATTATCAGGAAGCTGCTGTTTCTCTCCTCTAGTCAAACTGGTCAGATCTTCAGACAGATGGAGGAATGACCCAGCCGTGTTTGGGTCCAGAACCAGAGGAGTGTAGGTCACCATGGTCTGCATGTTGCTCCAGATGTTGAAGGCCAGGTTGCCCAGATGTTTGGCCTGGTCTATCAGAGCTCCTGAGGGCAGCTGTGGATCCTCCAGCAGGGGGCAGCGCTGGACTCTTTCCACTGCAGCCTTGTAGTTGTGCAGGAATGAGACGTCTTCAGCTCTCAGCTCCTCCTCTGTGGCTCTGACTGTGTCTGAAAGAGCTGCTATCTCTCTGCTCAGAGCCTCCATCTTCTCCTCCATCATCCCTCTCTTCTGCTCCTCTTCCTCCCTCAGTGCAGCCAGCCTGGCCTCCTCTTCCTCTGCTAGAAACTGATGAAGCTGCTTAAACTGCTCCCTAATCTGCCTCTCTGTGTGTCGGGCCTGGACCTTCATGTGTTCTGCTGTCTGATCAAACTCCTCCTGAACTTTCTTCCTGAGCTTCAGCTTCTTCTTTAAAGGTTTCAGAGTTTCCTGAAGCTTCTTCTTGTGTTGCTGAGCAGCTTCATCAATGGGTCTGAATCTGTGATTGGTGTGTTTTTTCTGAATCTCTGCAGACGAGACACACTGGCTGCTGATGGTCCAGACAGAAGAGTTTGAGTTTCTCAGAGTGCAGACTGCAGAGATCCTCTGAAGCTCTCTGCTCTCTCTGCTGTAAGAAACTCTCACACAGATTCTTCAGAGCCAGATTACAGGGTGGAGCATCTGATGCTGATCTTTTCCGACAAACTGGACATGAGCGACCAGTTCCTCTTCTCCAGTGTTTCTGCAGACACTCCTTACAGAAGCTGTGGCTGCATGACAGAAGAACCGGATCCTTAAATATCTCCAGACAGATCGGACAGCAGAGATGATCTTCTGATCTGGAAGCCATTTTGTCTCAGTGAACCTGAAACCACAGCAGACAGAAAGTCAAACCAGGGATGAATTTTATGCACAAAAGATTTAAATTTGATTCAACATGTTGAGCCTTTTGTGAATGTGGAGATTACAGATTAATCATCTCACTTTAAACTTGAATCATCCCAGAGATGAACATCACACACATTATATACGTTGATAGTCAAATATCTGACATGGTAAATATTGTTTTCTTGCTAGTTAAATATTAAATGCTGCTGTAAATGCAGAGGTTGATTGTTTGAACTCAGTTAAAGTTCATTAGATCTGAAACGCCTGAATCTGTGAGCAGAAGCAGAAACCATTGTTTCTGTTTGTCTTTAGTTTCTACCTGCTGTTCTTTGTTCACTGAAGGTGAAACCAGAAGTCACTTTCTGTCCTGCAGAAACTTTCTGAACTTACTTTGCTCTGCGTGTTGCTCCTCCTGCAGCAGTCTGTGTTCCAGTGTCCCAGTTCTCTCTGTTCTCCGTTTAGTTTGATTTCAGTCCCAGATGAAAATCTTCCCACGAGGTTTCTCTCTCCCAACCGTTTCCTGTTCTTCCCGGATTCACTTTTCTTCTTCTACTGTTTCCGTTTCTTCTTCTTGGTTTTATTGGCGGTTGGTAACCAGCGTTCAGCAGCATTAGCGCCCCCTGCTGGTGTGGAGTGCGGTTCCTGCCGGTCTACTTCATACTATGTGTTTCTACATATATAAATATTTCCTATATATGTAATTTAATATTCATACAGATAAATATACTAGTATAAACATTTTTACACGATCATCTATTTATCAGAAACACATTAACAAACTCGCTTCACATCCAATCAAATTCTATGAAACAATTTTCTTTTAAATCTAATAAATGTTTGTAAATGTTTAATACACAAATTCCTCCTCAAAATATTTAATAAATTAATATTTTTCTCAGTTCTTTCAGACTCTCTTCATGTATCTTCCCTGGTTTTTATATTTATGACATTTTAATTGAACATGCTGTCGTTTCATATTTTGAACTTTCATACTTTTGAATTTTAAAGTGTCTAGTTAAATCCTGTTTGTCTGAATCTCAGCCTTGTTTTCTCTCTTTCCTCTTTTCTTTTTTCTCCTTCATCGTTTGACTTTCATTAAACCGTCTTCTTGTTCTTCCTTTCATCTGTTTTTCTTTCATTTTCCTCAGATTTTCTGTTTTAACTGTAAAACTGATTCTGAATTTTCCTCCTTGTGTTTTTTCTGCCTCTCATTTCCTGCAATATGTTCTGCAACACAAATACATCACCCCCACTTTGAACAACCCTGTTGGAATCGAAGAAGCTTGGTGAACTGCTCTGCCCCCTGGTGGCCATTCCTGGATTTCAACTGAATTTAATGTGTTTCTGTTAAAGTTCTTACTTTAACAGAACATTCCCAAAATAACAACCCAAGTTTCTCTTCTAATTAATAAATATTTAGATGAAAAATGTTTGCAGTTGTCCCAAAATGTCCAGAATGAATGTTTTATACACTACAAAGTTTTAATGTTAAATTTACCCATAAAAACATTCAAAGCTTCACTTATTGTTCTATTTCTTTATTCTTTTAGTTAATTCCTTTCAATATAACATTTTGGAGTTTAACTTTCTGACATGGATGATAAAGAATTTAAAAACTGAAGTTTTGTCTGTGAAATTGTGGATTATTTAAAGCAAATCTTGTTAAAAATCATTGTAACAGTTAGTAGCATTAACATTATTGATGTATTTGAGTGTTTGTGATTCAGACACCAATACAACCATTCTAATATTAAATGCCTCTTTCCACTTTTAATTTTTACTCTGTTTACATTTGTATTTTTAATTCTGTCATTATGAACAGTATTTAATTATTAGATACATATTTAAGAACCGGAACCAGGAAAATAAAACCTGATCAGAAATAGATGAGGCTGAAACAAATCGATCTGTTCTTCAGTTTTGTGTTTAATAAAAACCAAACAATACAAATATTTTGAGAATATTAAAATAATAAACCACAGTTTGACTGTCTCTGTGTAGATAATCAGGCCAATCTTAATCTTAATCTGCTTCATTAAATGAAGAAGCAGGAAAAAACAAACATGGTGATCCAGTGACACCAAGCGGTGACAGAAAGTACTGCAGTGTTTAAATCTTCCATCTGAACTTCAGTTTCTTCCTGTTTGTTTTCAGTTTTAATAAAACTGAAGGTTTTTTAAAAGGGTTTTATTAAAACTGTGTTTTGTAAAATTTTTACTTCGGTTTTGACTGAAATTGGTTTAAAACAGTTTTAGAGTTTATTTCTGGTTCTGAATGCAGAACCTGAACCAGGAGACCTGAAGGCAGCAGGTTGATGCAACAGCAGCAGATCTTCAAGCAGCTCAGTGGTTTTTAAACTACCGGCTGTAGTCATATTTCCAAGTCATATTTTCACCATGTTATTCATGCATTTATAAATATCAGTTACTAACTAAATATTTAATTCAAGGGTAAATATTTATCTTTGACAAGAAATATTTACTTCTAAAATTAACTATTTAGTTTGCAAACTAAACACATTGATGAGATCAGAATTGCTCACATATTGCAAAAAATTCACATTTCTTTTAATACATCACTTCCTGAAAAACAAAATAATCACCCAGAGACGGGCAAAAAAACGAGACCTCTCACTCTGAGTCATTTTAGAATCAGAGCTGAACTCAGACTAAAGAGTCAGACATGAAGGTTAATGCAGCTGCTTGATCACTGAGATCTTCATCGGTTCGATCTTCAAGGTTTTTTCAATACTGTCGAAGTATGGAAACATCTTGTGAGTGAAGGTGTGTGTGAAGGTGTGTATGTGTGTGTTAGTATCCAGATCAGAGAAGGACAGCTTTCCTCTGTCCCAGTCCAGATTCACTCTGATCCTCTGGAGATTCTTCTGGACTGAGAGAAAAGTGGCAGGAGCTGGTGGAGAACGTGCATAATATTCATCTTGATAGAACCATATAACCAACAATCCAGACATTATGCCTTCTTTCCTCTCAACAGATTCTTCTATCACACCGAGTCTCCAGGCATCACTGTGTCCAACATCAACATCCCAGCTGTGGTTCCCTGAGTTAAAACCATCAGAACTCAGAACAGAACAGTAATATTTATCAAATCTCTCTGGATTATCAGGAAGCTGCTGTTTCTCTCCTCTAGTCAAACTGGTCAGATCTTCAGACAGATGGAGGAATGACCCAGCCGTGTTTGGGTCCAGAACCAGAGGAGTGTAGGTCACCATGGTCTGCATGTTGCTCCAGATGTTGAAGGCCAGGTTGCCCAGATGTTTGGCCTGGTCTATCAGAGCTCCTGAGGGCAGCTGTGGATCCTCCAGCAGGGGGCAGCGCTGGACTCTTTCCACTGCAGCCTTGTAGTTGTGCAGGAATGAGACGTCTTCAGCTCTCAGCTCCTCCTCTGTGGCTCTGACTGTGTCTGAAAGAGCTGCTATCTCTCTGCTCAGAGCCTCCATCTTCTCCTCCATCATCCCTCTCTTCTGCTCCTCTTCCTCCCTCAGTGCAGCCAGCCTGGCCTCCTCTTCCTCTGCTAGAAACTGATGAAGCTGCTTAAACTGCTCCCTAATCTGCCTCTCTGTGTGTCGGGCCTGGACCTTCATGTGTTCTGCTGTCTGATCAAACTCCTCCTGAACTTTCTTCCTGAGCTTCAGCTTCTTCTTTAAAGGTTTCAGAGTTTCCTGAAGCTTCTTCTTGTGTTGCTGAGCAGCTTCATCAATGGGTCTGAATCTGTGTTGGTGTGTTTTTCTGAATCTCTGCAGACGAGACACACTGGCTGCTGATGGTCCAGACAGAAGAGTTTGAGTTTCTCAGAGTGCAGACTGCAGAGATCCTCTGAAGCTCTCTGCTCTCTCTGCTGTAAGAAACTCTCACACAGATTCTTCAGAGCCAGATTACAGGGTGGAGCATCTGATGCTGATCTTTTCCGACAAACTGGACATGAGCGACCAGTTCCTCTTCTCCAGTGTTTCTGCAGACACTCCTTACAGAAGCTGTGGCTGCATGACAGAAGAACCGGATCCTTAAATATCTCCAGACAGATCGGACAGCAGAGATGATCTTCTGATCTGGAAGCCATTTTGTCTCAGTGAACCTGAAACCACAGCAGACAGAAAGTCAAACCAGGGATGAATTTTATGCACAAAAGATTTAAATTTGATTCAACATGTTGAGCCTTTTGTGAATGTGGAGATTACAGATTAATCATCTCACTTTAAACTTGAATCATCCCAGAGATGAACATCACACACATTATATACGTTGATAGTCAAATATCTGACATGGTAAATATTGTTTTCTTGCTAGTTAAATATTAAATGCTGCTGTAAATGCAGAGGTTGATTGTTTGAACTCAGTTAAAGTTCATTAGATCTGAAACGCCTGAATCTGTGAGCAGAAGCAGAAACCATTGTTTCTGTTTGTCTTTAGTTTCTACCTGCTGTTCTTTGTTCACTGAAGGTGAAACCAGAAGTCACTTTCTGTCCTGCAGAAACTTTCTGAACTTACTTTGCTCTGCGTGTTGCTCCTCCTGCAGCAGTCTGTGTTCCAGTGTCCAGTTCTCTCTGTTCTCCGTTTAGTTTGATTTCAGTCCCAGATGAAAATCTTCCCACGAGGTTTCTCTCCCAACCGTTTCCTGTTCTTCCCGGATTCACTTTTCTTCTTCTACTGTTTCCGTTTCTTCTTGGTTTTATTGTTGGTAACCAGCGTTCAGCAGCATTAGCGCCCCCTGCTGGTGTGGAGTGCGGTTCCTGCCGGTCTACTTCATACTATGTGTTTCTACATATATAAATATTTCCTATATATGTAATTTAATATTCATACAGATAAATATACTAGTATAAACATTTTTACACGATCATCTATTTATCAGAAACACATTAACAAACTCGCTTCACATCCAATCAAATTCTATGAAACAATTTTCTTTTAAATCTAATAAATGTTTGTAAATGTTTAATACACAAATTCCTCCTCAAAATATTTAATAAATTAATATTTTTCTCAGTTCTTTCAGACTCTCTTCATGTATCTTCCCTGGTTTTTATATTTATGACATTTTAATTTAACATGCTGTCGTTTCATATTTTGAACTTTCATACTTTTGAATTTTAAAGTGTCTAGTTAAATCCTGTTTGTCTGAATCTCAGCCTTGTTTTCTCTCTTTCCTCTTTTCTCCTTCAATCGTTTGACTTTCATTAAACCGTCTTCTTGTTCTTCCTTTCATCTGTTTTTCTTTCATTTTCCTCAGATTTTCTGTTTTAACTGTAAAACTGATTCTGAATTTTCCTCCTTGTGTTTTTTCTGCCTCTCATTTCCTGCAATATGTTCTGCAACACAAATACATCACCCCCACTTTGAACAACCCTGTTGGAATCGAAGAAGCTTGGTGAACTGCTCTGCCCCTGGTGGCCATTCCTGGATTTCAACTGAA